CCTCCCTGTACGTCGGATCCATCCTTCGAACTGAATGGGCCAATGTGTCCCTCTGTTGTTCTTCTTCCCTATACGTTGGATCCATTCTTCGATTAGCGTGAGCCAAAGCATCGCGCGCCTGTTCAGTTGCTCGATAACTGGAATTCATTCGGAGAATAGAGTGTGCCAAAATGTCCCGTTCTTGTTCCGCAGATCTATAGTTTACTGCTTGGCGCCGAGTTGAATGTGCTGCTCTATCCCTTTCTCGCTCATTTTCTCTATATTCAGGATCCTGTCTCCTTGTTGCTAACTGTTGAGAGTTTCTGAGCCGATCGTCATTTAAATTCCGTTCACGGTAACTGTGAAGATGTTGCCTCATAATTCGTTGACGTTGTAGTGCCGATTGTTTACGTAGTTTAGGCATAATTATTGATTGTCGAATTGGAACAGTTTTAAATCTGTATAGAAAACTTTTCAGTTATTTTCGTTGGTATTAAGTTATGTTTTGTTTAACGATTCGTTGTGAACTGATTTGTTAAAGTTGAGTTGGTTTATTATATACACAAATACTTACTGCCCAGGTAAGATGTTTTGTAAAAATCTGCGTAGAGTACCAGGTATATGAACCAAGTTGACGAGTGGGAGGGTTTTATTACCGCCAGGTATATTACATTAGTTTTATTATTATGGTTAACCTTTGTTTACTGGTAATTTAAGAGAGTTTTGATTATATAACCCACAGGTACATTTAATTATTATGTTATTGTTACCAAAATGCACTCTGTACTACCTGTAGAAACAGTACAAAAACAGGATCAAGCAAACAGAGGCAATAAAAATCACAACCATACTACCTGTGGCGATAAACTAAAATCTATTACCCTAAATTTGTGGCACAAACAATAACAACTTTTATAAACCATCATATAGGCGCTATACATACTCAAATAAAGTTGTTGCTACCGTAGACCTATAAATACAATGTCATACCCCATTGCAAACCCCAAATACTAAATTGAATATTATATAATGCTTAGCCACTGGATTAAGAACTTGTTACAAATTTCAAATAACAAATTTGGGCCAATTCCGTTTAAAATTGCGACTTACATTATCAAAATACCAAAAATCGGGAGGTACCGTTATATGGAGTCTAAAGTAAACGGGGACCTATACAGCGAATGTTTTGTCACCCGCTACAAACTTTTAATATCAATATCTTCATATCATCGGAACGATTCCGTGGAAATATGTGGCAACAAATCATCAAAATACTGGATACCAGGAGGTACCGTTATATGGGGGCTATATGAAAACGTTGACCTATACATATAATGTTACCCCCACTGGAGCTAGAATCCATTATGACTTACAAAGACCAATTTTTAGACAAATCCGTGGAAAAATGTGGTAAAAATCACCAAAATACCGAATAACGGGAGGTACCGTTATATAGGGGCTGTATGAAAACGTTGACCTATATATATAATGTTTCCCCAATAGAGCTAGAAGTCATTATGACTTACAAAGGCCAATTTTTAGACAAATCCGTGGAAAAATGTGTCAATAATCATCAAATTATCGAATATCGGGAGGTACCGTTATATGGGGCTACATGAAAACGTGGACCTATACATAAAATGTTACCCCACTGGAGCCAGCATCCATTATGACTTACAAAGGTCAATTTTTAGACAAATCCGTGGAAAAATGTGGTAAAAATCACCAAAATACCGAATAACGGGAGGTACCGTTATATGGGGGCTACATGAAAACGTGGACCCATACATATAATGTTACCCCACTGGAGCTAGAATCCATTACTACTTACAAAGGTCAATTTTTAGACAAATCCGTGGAAAAATGTGGCAAAAATAATCAAAATACCGAATATCGGAAGGTACCGTTATATGGGGGCTATACCAAAACGTGGACCGATATATCCCATTTCCAATACCAACCATCCTAGGGACAATACACACACTTGTGCCAAATTTCAAAGGTCTACGTCAAATAATGTGGGCTCTATCGTGATTTCAACAGACAGACAGACAGACAGACGGACAGACAGACGGACAGACAGACAGACAGACGGACATCGCTAAATCGTCTTAGAATTTTATGCTGATTATGAATATATATACTTTATGAGGTCTACGACGAATATTTAGAGGTGTTACAAACGGAATGACAAAGTTAATATACCCTCCTACCCATGGTGGAGGGTATAAAAATCTTAAGGATCGTTGCGAGAATAAAAGTGTGCACATTCTACATTAATGTGCATACTTTTATTCCCAATTAAGACGAAGTTTAATATACCTGGCAGTCAAAACTAGAGGCATCTGTATTCTGACCCTTGGGATACTTGAAGCCGGTGTAAAAGGATGAGATCCGATGACACAAATTACCTAGAGGCTTTTTTGAAGAACTTTGAGCGCGAAAAATCCCAAGATGTAAACAATTTGCCGCTTTCTTAACATACAAATTCAAAATCTTGGAATTGGTTCGCAATATAAAGACCTCTATGTACACATTTGCTCCATGACACGTATACTTTGAGACGCAATACTTTGTTATACAAAGGAACGGAAAAACAAACAACTAATACATATCTATCAAAAAAGCAGAACATACAAACCTAGGACCAACTAATTTTATTACTCTGACGCTCCAAGTTAAGGAAACTGGTGAGCGACAATCTGGAAGAAAGGGGAGCGTTCCCTCTGGTTTTAGGAATTACACTTACCTATCTGATAGAAAGCTTGACGTCAAGCGAAGGTCAAGTTATGGGGGAAATTCATCGGTCGACAACCTAGGAGCTGGCTGATACCTAGAAATGGCCACAAAGCAACAACCAAAAAAAATCTAATGGGTATTTTCTGAGTGCAACTTCTTGAATTACCATGCTATAAAAGACATTCTTCAGAAAACTCATAGGAACCAAAGGATCGCTCATTGGGACAAATTTGCAGATTCTACAATGTCAAACTACACCTTTTGGTTGTACAACTTGGAGAGTACTCAAATTGTGTGTTTTGGTCACTGACGATACAACTTTGTGTACAACCTCTTTGTACAACTTCATTTTGCGAGCAGTTAATTTTGAATCTATATGATGTCGGAAATAATTGTCTGTGCTATAATTGACGAAGGGTTGGAACAAGAAGAAGAATGTAAAAAAATGCAAGAAAAAGGAAAAAGTGGTCAAAGAAGTGGCTTTTACAAAAAGAACAAGTAAAAAAGCAGTAAGTTCGGCCGGGCCGAACATTGAATACCCTCCACCATTTAGAACGAATTTGGAAAATTTCAAAAAAGATAACATTCGCCAAAAATTCTGCTAACATCTTAAAAATACCGAATATAGCCGTTATATTAGGGTCTGTACGACGTGCACCTACATAGGCATTGTTTGTCACAAGCCATTACCATATTCAAATTCGAAACTTGAAATAAACGGAGAATAATGTAGCTAAAATCACCATACATAGGAAGGTACCTTTATATCGGAGCTATACGAAGACCTGGACCTGCATAGACAATTTCATGTCACAGGCTGTAGCTTCCATTATTTATTTTTTATTTATTTATATCTTCATTTGTAACACAGAAGCCTTCATGGCCTAAAATAAAGTATTACAAAGCATTACAATAATCCTGATAATGTAAACTAATTTTGTAATTGTTGTAATTTGAAACTACTACGGCGAATAATGACGCTAAAATCATCAAAATACAGGGAGGTACAGTTATATGGGGGCTATAGGAAGACGTGGACCTACATAGACAATTTTCTGCCTTAGGCTGTAGTATTCATTACGAACTTCAAACAAAAACGATTCCGTTGAATAATTTCCCTAAAATCATCAAAATACCGAATATAGGGAGGTACCGTTATTTGGGGGATATACGAAGACGTGGACCTGCACAGACAATTTTCTGTCTTAGGCTATAGTATCTGTTTCGAACTTCAAATGCCAAATTTGAAACAATTCCGGCGAATAATGTCGCTAAAATCATCAAAATACCGAATATCGGGAGGTACCGTTATATGGGGGCTATACGAAGACGCGGACCTGTGCAGACAATTTTCTGTCTTAGGCTGTAGTATGCATTTCGTACTTTAAATACCAAATTTGAAACAATTCCGGTGAAATCATCAAAATACCGAATATCGGGAGGTACCGTTACCGGAGTAAACCCCCATCCATTGCAGCTGAAGAACGTCAGCTGCCTAGACAAGCCAGGTAGTTTTGGCGCAATTACATTCAGGATGGTGTAGTCATCTCAATTCGTATTGGGCACGAATTGATGAAGATGTGCGTGACGCCTGCCCGGCGTGCGATACAGGCCCGCACAATACGCTACACCTCTTTAATTGCACAGCCAAACCTACCCAACTCACTCCAGAAGATCTCTGGCAACAACCCGTTAAAGTAGCCGAATTTCTAAACCTGGAGCTGGAACCAGATTAGCAGAACGCAAACACAAATATGTACTACTTCTACAACAACAACAACTAACTCGGCTTAACCAGAACCATATTGGAACATACACAAACTTAAGCGGAATTCTTAATAATTTAATTTATAAATAATTGTAAGTTGCTGGTTAATATTATAACGGTTAATAATTGATTATATTTTGTAACAATAGATTAATTCATTGAAAATAAATAGGAAGTATGTTACCGCAGATAGAAACACGGATGCAAATCGAGAGAACAGAACAGCAAATCTTGAATAAACTAATGGTTGATTATGGAACCAGAGCTGAAGTTCTCCAATAAAAAAATGTAAAATTGTTATATCTTCGGTTTATATTCACTTATGATCATGAAATATTACTTAAACAGTACAATTATTTTAGTCGATGGACTTTCTTATAGCTGGTCTTGTTATAACGTTTAAAGGCTAGTCCTTTTGGATATGATTCATGGCTTACTCTTACAGCTGGGTTTGTAGATAAATAGCGGAACGACCAGATTATAAGTTTTTTAACAATTCTATTTCAGACCTTAATTTAAAATCACTGTAGGCTTCGTAATTTATTATTCTAAGAATTTTGACATGACAATTACATAAGCTCTTCGAATAATTAGGAGGCCGTGCACATACTGGAGAGGTAATAAATTCGATTTCTTTCGTTTTCTGTTCTTGGTTGTAACAAGCAAACAAACTTGTTTAAGAGCATAGCAAAGCAAGCAAATCCAAAGATGTTTTCTTATGTTAGGAATGTTTTTGTTGCTTTTCTTCTTGTGTGCATCTGGGCACCAAACAAAACCAAATGATTGAGTCCTATCAAACAGCAAAATAATAATTATCATTATTTATACTTATGCAATATTTAGGAAAGCAATGGTCAACAACTTACCGCTAAACCAGACTGCACCCAAGCATTTTTATTTGGTGTTATCTAGCAAAGAAGGTAAACATGAAGGTCTGTAGTTGTTTCATATATAATTGAAGCTTTCATATAGATCTTGCTATTTTAAAAGTTACTTCTCATTCAATAATTCAATAATAATTAAACAAACAGAAATTATTTGGTGCCCAGATTTAACTCATGTCTTTTCAATGACGACTAGCAAAATGGCAGAAAAAAAATCGTTTTTATGTGAAGAAAATTGTATTGAGCTGAAATTAAATTAGAGGATTCCAGACTTTTTGCGAGGATCATTAACAAGGAATATTTTTTTTATTAAAAAACAGATACTCGCTTCTTCAAATATATATAATATTCGAATTCTTTTTTATGACTTTTAGAATTAAAATAAAAATATCAATAGAAAGATATTAATGCTAGTGCACCTCTGCAGATCCAACAAACTTAGCATAGATTGTAGCGTATTCTTGACAGAAATCTTTGCGATTAAAAAGCCATAGATCTATTGGTAAAAAGGAACAGTGAAGTTAATGGTCCCACGACTATATACGTCGATAATCAAGCGGCACTGAAGGCGGTACATTTTGGGAAAAGCTAGGGAATCCACCAAGTTATGTTGATTTGTATGCCTTCGCAATAATCCGGATAATGAAGCAGCAGATGGATTGGATCCGAATCAATTGACATCGAAGTCGAAAACTCGGTTAGACCATCCTCGTGTGATACACGAAGACTACTCCGGGAGATTTAAACAAAACTAGCTGGTTATAATCTACGGGAACAGAAAAAGGCCGCTCACGTCCATGGCGAAACCTGGCTGAAAAATTGTGGTGGGTGGGTAGCATAAGGTTCATGACTTCTAAGTGGAGTGACGATGACACCCGTTACTAGTGGATTGCAATTTATTATTGTTTTTCCAATCTGTTTCTTTCTTTTCTCAGATTTAGGATGAACACAATGGGCCAGCAGGTCTAGGAATTAATTAATTTAAGACAACTGTAATAATCAGAATCAGTTGGCTCCACATGAACGAAAGTTGGGTCGTATCGAGCTGAAGGCCACGGACAGCATTTATCAACATTCGCAGACCCATCGCAAAAATTGTAAATTTGTTCGATAGACTCGTTGGATTAGTTAATACGATACTAGCCTACATTCCAGGAAAGCCCATATACACTACCAAAGTCCCAGTTCCTCTTCTTCTGAAAGGGTTCAAAAATGTAGATCCGATGTAAGACCTCAGAAATTAGAGATTAATTAGTACTGATCGAATTATAATCACAAAAGTAAATTTCCTATCAGCAAAACACTTAGCATTGACCAGACCTTTAAAAATCTAAAGATGAAGTCCTGTTAAGTTTTACGCTCTTCAATTATTATTGGAGAATCCATTTTAAAAGTGCTTTTAATGGCTAGGCGAAGGTCAATATTGGAAAGTTCAATTTTCTTAATTTCTATTAATTATAATTAATTAAAGCACGATAAAACGTTTATCTCCAGACTTGATTGCTGAATTCCAATTCGTAAAAGTTACATTTGAAGTTTTTTGTAGGTCACAGCACATTGAAAGTGATAGAATGAAGGGTTTATTGACGATAGGTAGCCCCAATATTTAGTGTTTCACTTTTAGTGTTATTTTGTTTATTTATTATTTTTAAAGCAGCATGCTTTAAATACACCCCACAATCTGCAGAAAAATGTCACTATAATTTCAAAAATTCTGACTATCATATGTTACAGTTTATGGGGCTATACGAAAACGTTGATCTCTACAGACAATTATGCGCCAGAGATAATTCTGTTGAGATAATTCTGTTGAAAATTATAGACAAAAATTCATAAAGTACTGAATATTGGGAGGTACCGTTATATGCGGGCTATACAAAGGCGTGGATCTGTACTGAGCTAAATCGATGTAGAGACTTATGCTGATCAAGAATATATACTTTGTTGCTTATTTATTTTGATAAAATTAATATACCTTGAGGGTATAAAAATTCATCTATTAATTGGATTGTTTCGGGAACAAACTGACGAATATCTTATTAGAAGAATGGATTAATACCCGAATTACACTGGACACTGTCATTGCTTTTTTACTTTGGATTGTTGCGGAAAAAATGATGAATGGTTTATTAGGTTTACAGAAGAAGGGGTTAAATATCCAAACGTACCGCTGTTGTTGTTTTTGTTGCGTTCCTCTCTGGTCGTCATGATTGTTAACAATTTTGACATCTACAACATCACATTTCCTCTTACTTATAATTGGGCTTCCTTCGTTTGTGACTGTTTAAGGAACGTCGATTTAGAGAAACATTTATGCTATTTATTGTAATTGTTTATTGTTTCAATTACAAATTAGCAACTTTATTGTCTAGTTTTGCTTTAACGTTAATTTTTTAACATTAGGTAACTAGTTATTGTGACATTTCTTCAAAAGAGTTGCAAACATTAAGTTTTTTATTTCGTACCATTTTTTAATAAAGGAAAAAATCCACCTCCAGAATTTAGATTATAATAAAAGAAATAAGAAAGAAGCTAAGCTCGGCCGGGCCGAATTTGTATACCCCCACAATTAGGCATGAACTTGAAAAACTTCACAAAAAAATCCATCGAAAAATATCGCTCAAATAAAAACCTTTATATGGGGGCTATCCGAAAACGTGGTGCTGGATAATTTATTTTCTGTCATGGGTTGTAGTATCGAACTTCAAATACGACATTTGAAACAATCCCGATTAATAATGTAACTAATATCGTCAAAATACCGAATAAAAGCTGGTACCGTTATATTGGGGCTATACTAAGACGTGGAAGACAATTTTCGGTCATAGGTTGTAGTACCCATTACGAACTTCAAATGCGAAATTTAATGCATTTCCTGTGAATAATGTTGCAGAAATCCTTAAAATACCGAATATTTCGGGGTAGCGTTATTTGGTTGCTATACTAAAACGTAGACCTATGTAGACAATTCTCTTCCAGGGGTAAAGTACTCAAAGAGAACTCCTTGTGCGGATTTTCACAATATTCCATTAAAAAATGTGGCTAAAATCATCAAAATACCAAATATCGGGGGGTATACAATAGCATCGGCGACTCTATGATATCGTGGACCTATATATAAAACTCCCCTTCAGAGGGTAAATTACTCACAGATAACTTCTTGTGTAGGATTTCAGACAATGCCCATACAGACAATTCTTTTTTAGGGGATAAAGTACTCACAGAGAACTCTCATATATTTTCCGAAGAAGTATTTTTGAGTTTTTCAAACATTCTGCAGGGCTTAAAGTGAATAGTTGTCATTTGTCTGGACCTTCTGTATCTCATTATTGATACCATTATTGGCCAACACTATTACCAACAGAGATAAATTAATGTAATGAAAAAGAAGACCCTTTAAGTTGAGACGCGTCATTCGTTTTTAACTAAGACTGGACGCCTTCTAATCTCGCTGAGTTATTTGAGCCTAAAAAATTAACAGAATACATTCGATTCAATTTCGCCAAAGTATATCGCCGCCGATTCTTATAGTTCGGTCATACTCGTTCAGTTAAAATTTTCCAGCGGACACAATTTGTTAATGGACCTCTTTATTAATCCGGATTGCGTTTTAAGTTTTGCCACTCCCTTCCTCTGTCGCCAGTTTTAGTATTAGCGTTTCAATATTTTCTTCGACGGCTCGGAAATCTCTATCTAGATGCTTAACAGCTACAAAAAAGTTTGTGCCATTGTCTAAATAAAAATATCTACTCTTTCTTCTTTTCTTGTATAACCGTTTCAGCGCAGCTAGAAATGCTGATGTAAAACTGCTCACCGCCTTTGAATGTACTGCTTTTGTCGATATCGAAATGTATGATTTGGTTTCTCAGTTATTGAATAACGTCGTGTATATTGATTCCGCATAATTCACAGAAAAAGCGTAAATGGCGCCGATAAATTGACTACACATTCAGACATATCTTGACTGTCATGTCGAAATTTATGTATATTGGCTCATGACGATTCACCTTTTTCATACTATTTTTCATTTCAATTATCCAATAATTCCTTCTAATAAAATTTTACAATACCCGGTTATCACCATGAATTGTCGCCGCTTGTTTTCTTTGTGATTAAATTGCTTAAAAGTCAGTGAGGAATCGACCGCCTACTATCAACAAGCGGTTCCCAGTTAAATAAGAATTTTAAGATTTTAGTTTTTCTATTTCCTTACAATCGCGTCCGTCCCTCGAATTTCTTACTTTACTCGCACCATATTGCTCATATGAATGTTCTCTTCAATTTATTGATCGTATTCTGCTTTGAGTTCAGCATTGTTGCTTAACTTCTTCTCAGTAGTCATAATCAGTAATCGGCCATCGCTTTTTAATGTGAATCTTCAAATTTAATGTCTTTCTTGAATCAAAGTTCGATTTTAAACCATTTTTCAATCTCAGTCGATACTGTTGATTTGTAGTTCGCCCCGCAAAAGTCGTCATCTGGCTTTATCTGATTGTCTTCAAGATTCCAAAATCTTTCGAGAACCAGATAATATCCATCCAAACATATATGCACAAAATGTTAGTTGCGCTTGTGTGCGTTAGAGAAACTAGAAAGCGTGTAAAAATATTTCCCTTCTTGCTTCTGGACGTTATGTAAAAAGAAACAACCTCTACAACCTCTTTGTACAACTTCACTTTTCATAAAGTTTTTTTTGAGTTAAGACACCGGAAAAAATGAATGCTTTATAATTGACACAATACCTTTTATTTATTATTAATTTTTGAAATTCCATTTTATATACACATTAAAATCACACATTTGTTTGGATTTCGTATTGTTTTGATGTGCGAAACAATGGTGTTGCCTCATCAAAAATAAACACAAAATGAAATTGTATGCGACATGCCCACAAACGTTACAATCTGTTGGTACAACATGCCAAATATCAAAAATCAACCGAGACACACAACGATACTATTTTCAATACAACCTCTCCAAGTTGTACAACCAGTTGTATCGTGTGTGGCTTGCATTAAAATTGC